TTAGTTTCTATGTTTGCTGTGAGCTGTTGTCTGTTTGGTCTGTTTCTGCTCCTCCATGATGTCACAGACACTACCTGTGGACGGGATGGCGGGGCTCAGTCTAGTGATATTTAGATTTAAGTCTATGCACTGGACTCAAGGGTGCTTTGACTGTGACAGCAAATATCCTGCTGTTACAGAGAAAATGAAAACAACCTGTTTGTGTGTGAGGACTGTCAGCTGACAGGGTGACGATAAAAAATAAAAAAACATACATTTTCATCTCTCCAAAGAGGCTCAAGTTGAAAAGTTCGAGAACCACTGTTGTGATAGCTTCTATTCAAACATCTTATGGAGATTAATAAAAACTTAGTTGTGCTGAAAGAAAGATTAACATACAGTATTAACAAAAATCAAAGAAAGATTTAAAAGATGTCAACTGAAAGTAAAACTTTATGCTGCATGCAGAGTTGTATTTTACGTTCATCAGCTGTTTTAAATTTAAATTTAAAAAACATTTTCATCCTCATGAATTCTTAAACTTGACATCTGAAACGTAAATATACAAGTCTCTTAAAAAAATCATAAATAAAACAAGAGATCCATGTCTGAGCAGCATATCAAATTTTTAAACCATGCTGAGCATTGTTTCCAGAAAACAAGAACTAAAATAAATGCAGTAACAATAATAATAATTTACTTTTGAAATTTAAAAGCACTTAATTTACCTAGATCATCATCATCTGTGAAGCCAAGCAACAAACAAATAAACAATATTATTTAACTGAAGAGAGTCCAGCCCTGGCTATCTAATTCATATTTCAAAAACGCTCCAATTTATGAAGCCTTTTGGCTTTTTCTTCAGGGCAGTGAATGCATCGTGACACAGAAAGACAACCTGGACAGTGAACGCATGACAAAACCTAAAGACAACCTGGACAGTGAACGCATCACTAAACATTAAGACAACCAGGGCAGTGAACCCAACACCTCCCTTAAAGCCAAAAGGGACATTGAACACATCACATTACTTAAAGACAACATGGACAGTGAACACATCACAACATTTAAAGACAACACGGACAGTGAACACATCACATCATTAAAGCCAACATGGACAGTGAACACATCACATCATTAAAGCCAACATGGACAGTGAACACATCACAACACTTAAAAACAACATGGACAGTGGACACATCACAAATCCTAAAGACAACATGGACAGTGAACACATCACAACATTTAAAGACAACACGGACAGTGAACACATCACATCATTAAAGCCAACATGGACAGTGAACACATCACAACACTTAAAAACAACATGGACAGTGGACACATCACAAATCCTAAAGACAACATGGACAGTGAACACAGCACAACAATTAAAGACAACATGGACAGTGAACACATCACAACAATTAAAAACAACATGGACAGTGAACACATCACAACAATTAAAAACAACATGGACAGTGAACACATCACATCACTTAAAGACAACATGGACAGTGAACACATCACATCACTTAAAGACAACATGGACAGTGAACACATCACATCACTTAAAGACAACATGGACAGTGAACACATCACAACACTTAAAGTCAACCTCAGCAGTTAACTATAAAAACAGCTTCATCAGGAAGGAGTTTAGCTACCTGAACAGTTGCGTGCATAGTTCAAGTTTTCCTGAGGGTGTCCGGGAAGACGGCACTGGAAGCGGTGCTGCCAGAACTCAGGGAACCATGGATTGCGGGTGTTGGTGCTGAGCTTTAGCCTTAGGAAGTAATCGTCAAAGGAGGAGACCTCTTCAGAGTGGAGTTTCACTGTGATGCCACCCACGGCCTCGTTTTCATAACCCTCCACCACCTCCACCCGGTCCGCCCAGCCGTCACTGCAGACATGGAGTTAAACTCAGTCAGAGCTTGAATTTCACCCACATCCTTTCATGTCAGAGCTTTAAATGTATGAAGTCACATCCTTTAAGGTTAATCTTTGTAATTACTCCATGCTCAGCCTCACGTGGTTAGTGGTTGACGATGACTCTCAGCTACTACTACATCAAACTTGAGCTTAGTACCTGTAAACTGGAATAATTTTTTGTCATTTTTGTGTTAAATGACTCCCAGAGCTTTTCACTTGTAGAAGTTCATCCCATAAATATATATATATATAAAATGTACTAATATAGGGAATAGTTTCTTTACCTATTAACGTTTACAATTTTACCAGGTGAGTCTGATCTTTTCTGTAAATAACTTCTTTATGACACGTAGCGTGAGGCGAAAGGCAGAAAGTGTTTTTTTATTTACTTCAGCTGGCGTCCTCTGCAAGAGATATCAAAGTGAGTGAATGCACACAAAATATTTGGTGATGGTTTGCTGATGGATGCCTCAGGATTATGAGACCTCAGCACTGACCACTGAGCCACCGCCCTGTGTTTTCGTTTGAGATAACCCATCCATCCATCCCCATACTCGCTTCTTCCTTTCAGAGTCACGGGGTCAGTGTGGTGCCCATATCCAGCAGTCACTGTGCGAGGGGCAGGGGCGGAGCCAGGGGGTCACCAGGGGTGGCCGTACCCAGGGGCGGCCATGGCCACCACAAACAAATCTTTGGCCACCCTGCTGTACACACCCCTTACACAGTGAAACAACCTTTAGGGGTGTAATAAATCCTCCTGAACAGTTGGTGGCAGTGTTTAACAGTTTGAAACATCACCAAGCTCTATCACTGAAGAAGAGTAATGACAAAGAAGTGATGGTTTTCTTTATATACAGTACTGAGCCAGTCAAAGGAGGAGCCAGTCGTTGCCATCTCATTTGCGGAAAAGGCGTTGGCTCTCTCAAATTTTGGATTTGGACCCGTTTTTATTAAATGGGTCAAAATATTGTATAAGGAACCAAAGGCTGCTGTCATAACTAGGGCTACTACGATTAATCGATTAGTCGACAACCAATCGATTATTAAAATAATCTATGGCTAATTTAAAGAGTAACTTACCACAAAATTAACTTTTTTTAGCTGATAAACTGTCTAGAAT